AGACTTTAAAGAAAGATACCAACGACACTGATTGCACGGCGGCAGAGCCAAAAGTAATGAATTTAGCACCTTTTCTGCATGAATGTTAGGCATGTACTATTTGGTGAATTTTTGTCTTGTTTCCTTCGGTTCTTCGGGGCTCTATCAGTACAACGGAGGTTAATCCCAGCTTTGAATGTAGTGTAAAATTGACAGACATGGGGGTAAAAGAGGAAGACTGCAGTTGCCGAACTGAGAGAGGAAAAACTATGGGTGTTTATTTTACAGGGAAGCTAAGAAAGTTGATAGAATTTTTTTCCCCCATTGCACAGAGCTAATCATTAAAATGTTCTCCTTATGATTTAACATTGGACGATGGATAGAATATAGGGAATATTCTCCTGTCATTGTTTGGTGACAATCCAGGTGAGGATTGTTTCTTTGTTCTTTCGTTTCCGCCTTTCAAATTTTTACGGAGTAGATGCAGGTAGTCCTCCACTTATGACCGCAATTTAACGAAGTTTAACGAAGAGAAGGACAAGGGGGGACATGATAGCAGTGTTCCAATATCTCGGGGGCTGCCCCAAAGAAGAGGGAGTCAAGCTATTCTCCAAAGTGCCTGAAGGCAGGACAAGAAGCAACGGATGGAAACTCACCAAAGAGAGAAGCAACCTAGAACCAAGGAGAAACTTCCTGATAGTTAGAACAATTAACCAGTGGAACAATCTGCCTCCAGAAGGGGTGAATGCTCCAACACTGGAGGTTTTTAAGAAGAAACTGGACAGCCATTTGTCCGAAATGGTATAGGGTTTCCTGCCTGAGCAGGGGCTTGGACTAGATGACCTCCAAGGTCCCTTCCAACTTTACCATTATTATTATTATTATTATTATTATTAATTGAGCCCCAAATTTCCATTGCTAAGTGAGACAGTTTGTTAAGTGAATTTTGCCCCATTTTAGGACCTTTCTTACGAATGCTGGCTTAGCGTCTGTTCAAAGTTACAACTGGCCCTACTACATACAAACTAGGTTTGAAGTTCTGATTGTCTGCTCTTCCCCTGTGATCATGTGATTGCATTTTGGATGCTCAGTAACTGTATTTACGACGGTTTGCAGCCTCCCAATATTTTTGCTGGAAGCTGATATTTACTTCTGATTTCTGGAAAAATACGCCCATTGCAAACAATGGTTTCACTTAATGACCGCCGTCAAAAAGGTCACGAGATCAAGCTCAGTCACATGATGATCTATCCCAAAGGGGCTTTTTCAAGAGGCCACTGGACTTCCTTGTTTTTCTTTGAAGACGTTTCGCTTCTCATCCAAGAAGCTTCTTCAGCTCTGACTTGGATGGTGGGGAATGGGAGGATTTATACTCCTAGCAGACAGCTGGTCATTTGCCTTCTTTTAGAGAGTCGTTGAGGCCACTTGGAGGTTTACCTGAGTAGTGCAGATGGGTGTGAAGCCTTCCTGGAACTGCTGGAAGGACTGTGTTGTAGACTGGAGATAGATGATGTCGTATCCCTCCCCCTCTGTTGGATGACTGAGAATCTCCATGGACACATCAAGATCTACTTAATAATCAGCATGACTTATGACTGTAACTCTGGGCTCAATTTTTATCATAAGTTGAGGACTCCCTGTATATAGTCGGTGGTATAGCTCAGGATTGCTCAACCTCAAACACTTTAAGAGGTGTGGACTTCAACTCCCGGAATTTTAGCCAACAGGCTCTGGACAGGGCATAAAACTATAAGAAAGACATCAAAAGAGCTTAAGCTATTAAATCAATGGGAAGCCTGGATTACAGGTAATCTTTGACTTAGGACCGCAATGGAGCCTGTGCAATACGGACCACAATTGTGATGGTCGTAGTGTGGGTCACTCTTGACCAATTGCTCAATAGTAGTAGCTGTGAGAGGGATCTCGGAGTCCGAGTGGATAATCACCTAAATATGAGCCAGCAGTGTGCTCCAGCTGCCAAAAAAGCCAACACACTGCTAGGCTGCATTAACAGAGGGATAGAATCAAGATCACGTGAAGTGTTAATACCACTTTACAATGCCTTGGTAAGGCCACACTTGGAATACTGCATCCAGTTTTGGTCCCCAC